TGCACCACGGGCGTGCAGCGCCAACGAGGCTGAGCTCGCTTTCCCTTCACTGCTCTGAGTGTGCTGCAGACACTGGGCACGGGGCATCCTGATGAACATGGTCCTCTGTGATGTGGGGCATGCTGGCGGGAGCTGCTGAGCCTGCGCGGAGCCAGGCTCTGTCCCTGCCACTGCCAACCCCCCTTGGAGCGAGGTGCTGCTCACAGCTCCTGTCTGCTGCTCCTCTGGGACCATGCTGCCAGGGGATGCTTCTGCCCTCAGCACCTCCGGGTGCTGCAATGACCCTGGGGCACAGGCTATTTTCAGACCCCCAGGCCAGCTTTTCTTGTCAAATATGGGATTAAATGAATCAAGCTACATAGTTTTTTGGTGTGATCCGGCAGCAGACAGCGGGCTGGCTGTCAGCCACCTGTGAGGATGCAGTTTAGTGCTTGATGCTGACCTGCTCAGCAGCGTGCTGGGCTCTCGCTGCCAGTCCCCTGCCTTTTCCTAAAGTGCCCGTTGGGAAGTAGCCTGAGAACCAGCACATTTGTTTGCCACAGGCCATCGAGTAGCAGCCGAGTAATGAACTCCAGCAGCAGCCGGCTGGATGTGGGCCAGCGAGATGGGGAGAAAGGTGGCATCACCTCTAATGGCCCCCCAAATCGCGCAGTGTTTTTTGCTTTGCGTCTTGATAGACCACATGGGAAAGGAAGCAGTTGCTGATGCTGGCTGCCTTTTGCCTTAATATTGCCCCGTGCAGGCTGCTGAGAGCCGGCTCCTTGCTGTGCCCTGTGGTTCCTTCATTCGCATGGGATGTGCTTGCCTGGCTCCTTAAGTACCTCCAGAAAGCACCATCGTATTATTTTTGCCCCCTCCTCACGTTTTGCTGTCAGGCAGGCTGTGTAAATCGGGAGTGGCTCCAGCGGGCTTCCTCTGGACCGACACCAGTGTGGGAGCGGAGAATTAGTCCTGCACCTGCCACTTTTTTAATATAGGCTTTAAATCTGATTATAACTGCCTGTCTGGCTCTGCATTATGTGCTTCATGATTATTCAGCATTATGTAATCTTTGATAAAAGATGCTGCATCAGTAAAAGTGAATTAAACTATTGAGTGATAGGAGTTTATCGAATTCCTCAGAGTGATGCTGTCCTCTCTTTGGCACTTTAACCTCTCCTGTGGAAGGAGTGTGCCAGACGCTGCCCTTACTAACAGCCAGGAAACCCTGCTGACTTGGGTGGAATTGCGGGAGTACAAATAAAGTTAGATTTCAGCTTAGAAAGACAGTTTTTTATAGTCTAAAGACTCAATATTTTACAGCAGTGGTCCCTTATCTGCATTATGTGCAAACTGCTAACAGAATTACACGGACAGATGTCTGCAAGGCCCGTGGATGCTCGATAAAGTTTGGCTCTTAGAGGGCTGACGGACAGAGCTGGCCAGGCAGTCCTCGCTCCAAAGCCTCCTGAGAGTGGCCATGCACTGAATTCCCACATGATGGGGGAAAAAAAAAAAAAAGTGCATTTAATTCTAATCTGAATATTTTGTCTTATTTTCTGAACACCCCTCCAAATATAAAATACTGTATTTTCCTCCTTTTTAGGTCTTCCCTTTCTCCACACACAGCAGATGTCTGAGGGCTGAATGGTCTAGGGATTTTGCTCTGAGTTTTCCTATTTCTTCATTTCCTTTTTCTATACTACAGGGTTGTGTTTTTTTTCTGCTTTGCTGTGATATTAGAAACATTGCTAGGGGAAAAAAAAAAAAAGCACAAACCTAAACTGTAACTCCCAACACCCAGATGCTTTGAAAAGCTTTCAAGTTTTGCAACTCTGGATAAGCAAAGAAAGGAAAAAATAAACCTACATCATTTATTTTACTTCACCTAGTAGCTAAAAGGAAAAGGTGCTGGAAAGGGGAAAAACAACACTTCAGAAATGTGAAATTAAAGGGAAGTTTCTCAAAAATTAAAAAGATAAAGTTCCTCTTTGATGCTTAAAACAAATGTCAAAATTTTGTGCATGTTTTCTCCAGTTCTGCACTACACCTGGAGAAATGGGGTGCTGGGGGAGCTGGGTCTGAGCAGGCTTTGCTCCTCTCTTGCTGCAGCAGCAGATACGAGGGGTGGCTTGGGCACCACCAGCCAGGGCTGGGTACCAGCGGGAAGCCTTTGCTAGAGGGAGGCAGGGCATGTGTCGAGCCCCCAGAGCTGTTCCGCATCCCAGGAGAGGCAGGGGTGCAGGCAGGAGCTGGCCAGGCAGGAGGTGAGGCTGTTGTGCTGCCCTGTCTGTGGGTGATGGCTTTGCTGGCCTCATCCTTTCCCCTCACTCCCTGCGCAAGGAATGTTTAATAAAAAACCCCAGGCTTGACAGCTCACTGATACCATAGATTTAAATATACATGTTTTAGATCCTGAGATTTACTTTTGACAGGTACAAGAGAGACAGCTATAAATGCTGGGCTGGAAAGTCATTCACATTAGCGCTCAAACAAAGGGCTGCAAGCTGCACCACTTGCTTTTAATTAAAAGCTTTCCTTATTTTACAACGTGGGCAGAACCAGAACCACTCTCTTTGTTATGTGCTGCTCATACCCATCAGTGAGCCGGCTGAGCGACAGGCCACAGTGCTGCCCTGTCACACCAGCTCCTCAGCTGTGAGGGGACACAGCCAGGGCCAGGCTGGCCCCGTGGCCCCCCCAGACCGGGGCCAAGGGAAGGCAATCAGGCTCCAAGGGGGATGATGCAGCTCCCCAGTGGCAGCATGACCAGAGGAGGGTGCTACGAAATGGGCTGTTGTCTTGCACAGAGAGCTCTTGGAGAGGGTCTGGCCAAAGGAACATGGGGACCACTGTGCCACCAGCTCCCTCCCTCCCAGCCAGGCCACCACGCACCGGTGCTAGAGGCATCAGCAGGCGCATCGCGACAGGAGTGTTGGACTTCGGATAAACTAATTGTGTTGCAAAGAGTGGAGCGAAGCTTTTAGATTTCAGAGCCAACGTGTGGCATCTTTATTAATGTGCCTACTTGAGTTCCCTGGGACGCAATGTTTTCTCCTCACCCTGGCCATCCATCTGAACTGATAATAGGACTATTAATCCATTTTGTTGACAGCACTCTCAGACCTCCAGTGAGGCAGGAGATGGGGAGGGGTGGGGCTGCAATCGATGCCTGTTTTGCTCCAAAGGGATCCTGTCACAGCCTCTGGCAAACTAAGCATTAGCTGGGGGTGAAAGGATGGAGCATTAACCAAGGTTACGGGTACCGTGCAGATGGCCAGCTGTGGCCTGGCTTCTCCTTTGTCACCTGGAGAGTATCCTTCAGAAAGCCACTGAGATACTAGATGCTCTACAGAAGCCAAACATGCAGGAGACCTTGTGCTCCAGGGCACATGGCACTGTGCAAGGACACCGACACTGGGGTTATACACCATGGACCCACTCAGGAACCTCGTACCAGTCACTTAACCCCCCTCTACTCCTCCTCCATACCTACATGGAGGTGAAGTTTCTACAATTTCAGGGCCTTTTCAGCCCTGCCTGGCTACAAAGTGCCTGGCACAGCATCCATCGTGTCTGTGATTTCCTTTACAGCAGCAGAAATACATATACACAATAAATAAAAAATGCATATCTTTTATACATGTGATATATAAAGAAACATTTCAGTGGAAAAAGCTGGAAGATGAGGTGCGTCCCTGCCCAGCTCTCACTTCTCCGCACATCCCCTGCCAGTGGCTCATCCCAGGCGCCTTTATATTCAGACTGATCCTGTCTGGTTTTAAATATCTCAAGCCACAGAACTTTCTCCCTCCAGGGAACCACGTCGCAGCCTCATAATTTTCGTTGTCAGCAGAGGGGATTTTTTTCCCCTGTGACATTCAACCTAAATGCTCCATTTCTTCATTTCCTGTCATCCCTTCTGGTGATGCCCCTTGTACTCTATTAAATAATTCCTTCCCTCCCTCTCTATTTACACCAACCAGATCTGTAAGGCTCTTAGTTTGTCTCCCCATGGACAGCTCTTAACCCAGCAATATATATATTTAAGCCTTTTAATCTTCCTTCAGAAATCAGTCTCTCCGTGCCTTTGATCATTTGAGTGGCTTCTCTCTGAACCGCCGCCAACGCGTCTGTGCTGAGGGAGCCCCACGCTCCGGCTCTGGCCACACCTGAGCCTCCCAGCACCATTCTCGGACACCAGTGCTGATCCCTCCCTGCTGCCCTTGTGCACAGCAGCCTCCCAGGTCCCCCTAGCTGTCCCCATCGCCCCAGGCCTGTCAGTGGGGTGCTGCCAGCTTGGCTCTGCCATCGTTTGCCCCTTCTGCTGTCGGCTCATACTTGCATTTGCCTCCCAGCTGCACTCACTCACGTTTGTCCAAGGCCCAGCTCCTTTTGCTGCTTCCTGCCCATGTTTCCAGTCTCACTAGGCCCTTTTGGTGTTAATTTTCTATGCTTGCTGGAGCTCACAGCACCTCCCAATATAGCATCATCTGCCAAATTCATTAATGTGTAGTTTACTCCTTCTTTCCAGGTCATTAATGAGGGTGTTAAATGAGAGCAGACCTAACCTAGATCCCTGCAGTACCCCATAAACACCTCCCTCTGTTTCTAATTACCCTTTGTTTATGATCCTTCAGCCAGGTTTTCAATCCACATGGCACGGTTCAAGTCATCAGAATTAATTTTCCCAAGGAAGCCGTCGCGAACGCGGGTGCAAAGGGTTTGCCGCTCGCACCGTCCCCACCTGCCGCCTCCCCCCGTCCCACCCCCGCGGGTCACGGTGACCCACGCTCCCGCTTCCCACAGAAACACCCGGCAAAGGCTCTTCTCCCCTCCGGGACACGGCAGCCAGCGGCAGAGGAACCCCGCGACCCTCCCGTGCTCCCCGAGGAGGAGCGGGACGGGTGCGTCCCATCGGGTGTCCGGGGGGACGCTCTCCCTGGAGGGGGTGGTGTGCCGGCC